ATTTTGAATCCATTTCCTATAGTTTATTTTGAATTAAGTCTTTATAACTTGAAAAGTAATTTTGTTTTGAGAAAACAATGATTTATTATTGATTTAAAACCTGCAGAGATTAATATATCTAATGGATCAAATAATAAAAATTTAATTAAAACCAAATAAATTACAAGGACTTAATTTAAAATTGAAAAAAACTACAAAAACCAACAGATAAATTTTTCCTAAAATTATAAATATTAAATAAACAATATAAAACATTTTTTATAATTATTCTTTATAAAAATTTATATACAAAATAATTCAAAAACCTCACTTTTGTATTGTCCTTTTACTTTGTCACAACTCTCCTCAGACTCACAAGGACATAATATTCCATTATTTCTTCACGGTTTCGGGCCTATTTTTGTTCTCATTATTTTATTCAATCATTATTATTGTTATTAGTGTCATTGCTTAATTTTTACTTTACCTCTCTCCTCTCTCATCATGCACAAGCAAGGAGGTTTTTGAAATGGGATTTTAAAAAGCTTCTCGAAATCAAATTAAAAAAATTCACTTTCAACTATATTTTTAATGTACTTTTCAAATGTGTTTTTATCCAAAAAAAAAAATTTAACCAAACAGCTTTTACCTTTTCGAAGGTATAAATTTACTTTTTAAATGTAAAACTTTGAGCACCCAAACAGATCCAAACAAGGTGTGTCAAATATTTTTATAACTTTTTTAATAAAAAATGTAACGAGGAGTGTTACTAGAAGGTGCAAAAGTCAAGCTATACGTGGAGATGTATATGAACCAACTTGACACTAAATTTAAAACAAAAATTTTAAAACTCTAAATTTATGAGTTCTTTCATTTATATATTACTCTTTAACCAAATTCTATTCAATGTAACAATTTTTCATATTAAATTAAGTCTACTCTCACTCTTAGTATTTTAACACGATCTCATCTAATTTTTTATATTTTATAATAATTAATATTGGAATTAGGGTGAATGACAAAAGAATACTCTTGAAATATGTAGATCACAATTAAGTATCATAAAATGTGGTAATTATTTTTTAGCTCTTAAGGATTTGTCTATCAATTAGTTTTAATATGAAAACACTTTTTTTATCTTTATAGAAAAAATTTGCACAAAAAAATTGTAATTTGTTATTATGTTTTAATCAATTTTTTAAAAAACTAGTCATCTTCCAAAATAAAAGTAATAATTGATTTTTTATTATTAGACTTAACAGATAAGAAAATTGCACAAGGCAACTTATAATTTACTATTTCGTTTTAGTAATTTTTCCCAATAAAAAATAGTTATTTTTAAAAAGAAAGTAGTAACTAATTTTTAATTATCACCTTATTTTAAAATTTAAAACAATAATAATTAGAAGAGCACGTCTAAGAAAATTAGGAGGGAGAAAAGTAAAGAAAAAGCATAAAATCAAACATCAATTGATTTTGGCCGCTGACAATTCAACGATGGAAGAAAAACATCACATTCGATAACTAATTGGACTAATAGTAAGATTTTGGTATTAATAATATATAAAATATAATAACGATGAATAAACAAAAAAGTAGGGGACCACGTTTAGCAAATTAAATGTGCACCTTGTCATTAGCTTCAGCAGTGATGTTACTTATCATGTTATACTGTCCACTGTGGAGCTGATGAGCACTTCACACAAAGCTCTCCCACTTCTTCATTTCTTCTTAGCTTGAACTCTACAATTCCCATGCCAGATTTTTTTTTTTACTTAAATCAATGACCCAAAATTTAAAGAGTTAAAAATAAAGCTGGAAAGGTGTGTGTATATATATAAAGTACTGTTATTTGATGAGTATATCTAATTATTAACTCAAGGCACTAACCATGTGTCATTGCCATTGATATCATAGCCCTCCTCCAATAACAAAAATAAACCTGATCTTATTAGGTGAGTTCAGCTATATAAATTCACAATTCATTATTCTTTATTATCAACCAAATTTTTAAAAATAATTTTAATTAAAAAGTTTCATTCAATAATTTTTATAAATGTTAATCCGCTCCATCATGATTACAGAAAGAAGTCATAATACAATGAATTGCTCTTAACACGCCTCCTGGAATGATTTGCCACATGGCATGCCAAGCTACTCAGTGAAAGTGCTTAAGTATACAGATCCAATAAGGTCACTTGGTCTATTATCTTCTTTTCCCCCCTTTTACCATAACACTTAATTTAATATCATTATTAGCTTAATTACTTTCTCGAAAGATCAGCATTAACTAGACTAACAAAGTCAAACACTCAAGACCATATCTTCGCAAATTATCAATAAGATTTTCATTTTGTTCAGATCAAACTCAGGCCAAAATAAGTATTTCCTCAAAAAGGGATTAGTGTTCTCTTTTTTTAAGTTACTTTATATAAAAAGGTGAATTACTAGATACCTCTTTCAATTTTATCTGCTTACATATGAACAAAGAAAATGTTTATAAAGATGTAAGAGTAAATTGATATTTATATTTTTTCAGATAACATCAATTATTTATTTATTTTTATTTTGTTAAGGTAGTTAAAAGTAACTTATATACAGTTAGAAATATTTTTAAATTGAGCTTTGCGTCCACAACTTACACACTTAAACTTAATCATTTATTTATATATATCATTGCCCCAAATTTTACCATGAAATAAATTTTAAAGGAATCATATCAAAGTTTTCCTAGAAAATCAAGATTTTTAAATGAATAATCACAATTCACAATTGACCCTTTTTGGGAATAAAGAATAAAGGAAAGTGGTGAACAGGTCAGAAAAGACATGAAGTATGGGCGTGAGGGAGGTGTAATAGATTCCTCTTCACATTTGAATATTGGAATTCACGAGTGCATGAATGAGGAAAAAAATAAAAAATAAAAGAAAAAGAAAAGTAGTAGGAAATTAGGCATGGTGGGACCTCGAAATTGAAAATCTGAAGGGAAAGTGATTGAAAATATGGACTCTCATAGCCTCATGAGAAAATTCTTCACCGTGGATCTGGCTCTCTCACATAAAACAATCTTTGATTAACTAATGAATCACGGAAACAGATGAGACATGTTGGGAACACAGAATCATCGATTAATTTTTTTTTTTTTTAAAAACCATCGAGTCAAATACTGCTACTCAGCTCAACAGCTCTCAGTCTACTCTACATGCTGCTCCACTCCTGTGCATGAAACTCAGATTTTATTCGCCCAAACATATATATTAACTTTAATGCCTGAGATCCCACTAGCAAACAAATAAATAAATAATATCATCAAAACAGTGTCAATTAAACCACCAAACTACTGCATTGAATTGATTTTATAGATATTGGTCAAAAAAATGTACTGCTCAGGCCTTGGGTTAGGGATATTTTCTTATGTCAAATCAACTATATCATGCATCTACTATTCTTATCTTCGTTTATTTTTATTCAAAGAATGCTAAAAAAATATTATTATAATATATACTTTTTTTATTAAAAAATATAAGGTATTTTTTAAAAATTTAAATGTTAATAAAATATAAAACATTTTTAATCTTTTGAGGTATAGTCATTACTTTTTTTTTTTCAAAAGTGCCTCAATTGATAATGACTTTATATTTATTGTATGGTGTTTAATAGGGATAAATATAAAAAGATATGATTAGTTTAAAAGTAAGTAACTATTTTATTGAGAGTGAATTTTGATTAAAAATGCTTTATTTTTTGAACGGAGGGAGTAAGTTTTGGTTTACAAACTCTAGAGTTATTTATAAAAATGAGAGAGTATTTATTTTAGTTCTATTTATAAGACAACTGCATAATTTTTATTTGTCTTTTTCTTTTTGTCTACTCCCTTTAGACCACAATATAAGGCATCTTTTAAAAATTTTATTTGATCCAAATAAAGGACATAAGATAACTTTTATATTTGTTTTTTCAACTATATCCCTACTTCATTCATTACTCTTTTTTAAAAAATTATGTATTGAAATTTTAATTCTTATTATTCAAGCTTTTACATAGGATATTTAATGAGGGTATAAATGAAAAGATATGGAGTTGTAGATATTTTTAAAATTTAAAGTTTCAATTAATATTTTTTGTAAATTTTGAATTTGTTAATTATAACTCATATTGTAATCTAAATGGAGTATATTAAATGTTGTGAAAGTTATTATATGTTGGAGGAGTTTATTTTAAAGTGTGTATATTTAATAAGAGTAAAGTTGGAGACTTATTAAAATTTTTAAATAAAAATTTAATGAACTTTAAGATATTCCTTGATGTTGATAAAATATGTTGAAGGTGATTTTATAAATAGGATAGATTGGAGTATTTTATATCTACATAGTTTTCAGAAAAATTTGGGTGAGATTCATGCCAAAAAAAAAAAAAAATTGGGCGAGACTTTCAAAACCTTTCAAAACAATTTTTTTTAAGTGGAAGCATTTTATAATCTGAGTTGCTAAACACCTTTGTATTGGAAACAATTACATTTTGAGTTGGAATTGGACTGCGCAACCACATGATTATCACCATCCACCGTTATATTTCAGCAATAATCTAATTAAAATATTGTCTGAGCTTCAACATACGCCTTGTTTCGTTGACACTCAATTTTTTTAGTATTTTTTGTTCATGTTTGTGAAAAATAATAACGTTAAATATATGGATTATCGTTTTCATGAAATTCCAGATATATTTTTTTTAAGACTTTAATCTGATCAATGTTCCTTTCTTCTCTTCACATTTACAAATCAACCCCTTGTGAACGTTTTGGATTCTTCTCGCTCCATTTTGGGCCTTTAACACAATCTAAGAGTCCAACAAGATGAAATACACAGGCCCATTTCTGTCTGTCCACCAGTGAGCCCAAGATTGAATACACGGCCCATGTTTCCGAATTCCGTCTTTTTTTTTTTGCTTGCTTGTCCAATTAGTGTTGGAAACGGAACATTTCGAAACAAAATTCAAGGAAAAAAAGTAACAAAAGGAAAGACTTGATACGTTTTTGACTCCATATCTTTTGAAGAACATGTCCTCATAATTGAGAATACGAGAAAAATTAGACACCATGATATAAAGGAACAAGTTAAGGCCGCCATTGTTGACTCCAAATGAAAGAAAAATGAGTGGAAGGAACAAATTTGGTGATATATTTAGAGTTTATAAGTAACTTCATAGAAAAGCAAAAGCAAGTTCAGAGAAAGCCCTTGTGTTGGAAGCTCTTGATGCAGTCATGGAGCATCTCTTGCAGGGTTTTGAATGTTGGAAGCCCTAATTCAGCAATCTTAGTGGTGTCCATGCTATGTGGGATGTTATCTCCTTCCTGATTGTTGCACCTACACACATACACATACGCACTCAAGATTCAGCTTATGCATATATAAAAATAAAATATATTCCCTTTCATCCTAATTATCGTACAAAGTCAACTAATTTCATGATTTCTAACGAGTTGGAATTGATAAACTTAAACTCGTAGGAAAATATGTGCATTTTCAATTTTGCCTTTCATTAACGACCATAATAAAAGTGTTGAATATAAATTGGAAGCATGTTAACAACTTGTTGCAATTAAAAAGGGGTAAGATTGGAAAAATGTTTAACTACCACATACATCTTTCTCTCATATTAATGATGACCAAATAGAATTTTACAACTTTATCTCAAGATATTGAAAATTGGACCCGTTGTTGAACCATTAAGGTACTAATTCAAGAATAAATGATCAAAATCATGATCAATAAACTAGTCTTAAGCAAAATATTTCATTAAGTTGATCAAGACATTAGTTCAACCTGATTTTTAATATTATGTTTTGTCAACTAATTAGGAAGGGAGGGAGCATATGGTTAGATTTGAGTGTATGGTTGAACTCACGTGTGTTCGTAAGGGTAAGAAGGAAATGCTCGGCGAAGCATGTGGATGATTTGTGACCAGTGAGCGACAGAGCCTGAACACACAAGTCTGCCACTTGCCTTTGGTTGCTGCATTGCTATCAAGTGAGCTGAGACGACGTCGTCTATGTGCACAAATCCTATTGCTTGGTTCGGATATTCTCCTCTCGAACCTTTGATAATGGCGAGTAATAGGAGCAAGGTACTGGTAGGGTGTGGTGCAAGCAGAGGACCAACAACGAAAGACGGATTCACAACCACCATATCTATCTCACTTTGCTTTGCCACCTTCCATGCCTCTCTCTCTGCCACAGTCTTTGCATATGCATACCAAAGCTGCCATATAATATTATTCGCAGCATCCAATATCAGAATATCTGCTAATGCCTAGTTGCTTGGTGTTGAATTGTATACGTACATTGTAACGCTTGCAGTATTCTAGATCACTCCAATGTGATTCGTTAAGAGGAGAAACTTGTTGTGCATCGTCTCGGTATCTTATGGCTGAACAAGAAGAGGTCAAAACCACTCTTTTCACCTTTGCTCTTATGCACGACTTCACCACATTCACAGCTCCTTTCACTGTTGGATCTATTAAAGTTTTCTGCACAAAACAAACCACAGCAAGTATAAATAATATTACATGAATTTCATATGTACTCATGATAAGGTTCTGTATCACTATTTGCCAAGCACGTAACATTTGTTGGGAGTCATAAGAACAAACATGGAGATATCAAAATTCTTTGAACCACCACTAAGCTGGAATGAAGAAGAGGTATGCAAATGGCTAGAAAAGACGATAGATTGAATATATATAGTTTAAGTGACCTGAACGTCGTCATTGAAGTTGACAATGACAGGAGCAGCTGTATGGAAGACACCATCAACACCTTGTATAGCCTCATCGAAGCTTCCTTCTTCCAACAGTTCAGCTCTCAACATCTTCAGCCTCTCTCTGGCTCCTCTCAGTTCCCATAAAAACCCTACCTTTTCCACATCCTCTGACACAGCGAATAAGGAACTTTAATCGACGTTAATTAATTACAACTGATGAACATGAGCTCAAATCTTAAAAGATGTATATGAATTAAACCTGGGTTTCTGACGGTGGTCCTCACTGTGTGGCCATTATCTAACAAAGCCTTCACGATGTAAGAAGCTATGAAACCAGAGCCCCCAGTCACGCAGTACTCAGGCATTTCTCTCTTCAAGTTTTATGGAGCTGATTCATCTTTCTCAGCTTAATCTCTTGGCTTTATTCAAAGGAACTGATTAACTTGAGGATCATGAAATATGCGTTTCACACCTTAACTAATACTATTAATTAAAGATAGGTAGATCGTAGATGCTTCACTCCATTCACAATCCTGTGTTTTTAATTTACATTAGGCTACCAAAAATTAGGTTTTCTTTTAATTAGAGTATATGGCCACAATTATATTAAAATAAAATTAAAACCCCAAGTGATGAAAATTATTTTGAAACAGAAGTCATAACAACGCGTATGACACGTTTAAAAATTAGAGGACTGAGAACATAAAAATTAAAGTTGATAAAAAAAAAAAAAATTAACCAATAAGACCATGAGTTTGGTGTAGAAACAACGAACTCTTTTATAGGGCATTCTATGTCATACTTTTTCTGTTTTAAAGTATAAGTATTTTTAACTTTTTTTCTCTCCCCATTTTACCTGCATTTTAATGAGTACAGAACAATATTTATTAATATTATTTTATTTTATACCCACATATATCTTAGCGACTTCATTGTAGCATTTATTTGGTTTCAAGTCAATTTTGGCAATGTAATCCATAAATATTTTTATGTATTCCCGTTGTACTAAATTATAAGATATTTTTAGATAAAATTATACACATCCTATAATCTTATTTTTTTAAAACAAAATCATGAATTTTAAAAATACTTTTCATTTAATATTTCATTTGTTAAATAATATTAAAAAGAGAGAATATATGAGAAAGATAATATTAAAAAAATATCATTAATAAAACTTTATTTTTATTAAAGTGTTATATTTTGGGATGCTGAATCTTTTTAAAAGTATTTTATAACTTGATGTGGAGGAAGTATTAATTATATTTTGAAATACTCATTCAATTTAATAGAATATTGTTATGTTATGTTACTGCTACAAACTAAATCTCTCATTTGGATTCAATTCAAATTAATGTTTTATTATAACATTTTTATAATTTCAAAATTCCTTTTAAATCTTAATTATTTGAAATCTAAAATTTCAGTTACTCTAACTCTTTTATTTTCTTCATGTTTTTATTATTTGTGTCTTTGTTAATATTGCCCCTCCTCTAATCTATCATCGTCGTGTCTCACCAATTGAAAATAAAGGATAGCCCATCAATCTTTCAGTTTTACTTGGAATCTAAACTCATCTTTTTTTTTAATCTTAAAATTTTATACACTATTCAAATAAAATATCTTAAATATATGAATTTTAAAGATGAAATTTAAATTAAAATCCATCAATTCAAATATAAGCTAAAAGAATATTGCCATGTAACATCCACTAGTTTATTTATCTTTAAAGTTTCGGTGTTAAATTTCATGTTCCAAAAGATAATGTGAATATCACAAATTCACATTTGTAACCCTAATCATTTGAATTTAAGAGATGAAATTCACATTCTTTGTAGTAACCTTACAAATCTGGACCTGACCACATCCAATATATTTTTTTTAGATAAAAAAAAGTTTAAGTGAGTTGGATCTCGAGAACTCACTAAGACTAGAATATGTCTCCAAAATTAAAGATCATTTACAAAAATACTTACAAATTACTCACTAATAAAGTTCTCCCATCAGACAATAACTATTACATCACCCTTAATAGCAACCAAGTCATGCTTCCTACAACTGATGCTGATACCATCACCATTGCCAACGAACCTCAATGCTAACAAGAATGGGCTTGAAATTGTCATGCTTCTCAATGATTTGGTTGATGTTAGAAGCGATGTAAGGGCCTAAAATTTTGCTATAATGTGAAGGCTTTTATTGATCTTAAAAAAAAAAAACAGTTTTAGAGAAAAACATGAAAAATTTTATTGGTTGTGTGAGAGATTAGATAGCAAATTCCTTCCATGGCTTTGATCGTACAAAAATTGGCTGTATTCTCCTTTTCTCTTTTCATTGTTGAAAACCCAAAATAAATTTTTTTTACTCACTTACTATATCTATCATTGGAGGAGGCTTGGACACTTTGTACTTATTTAAAACTATTATTAAAACACAAAAAATAAATAAAACAGACCTTAAATCAGACAATGACTTAGACATTTGAAGGACGTTAAACTGTGAGAGTGAGTAACATGATAAATGAAAAGAATTTCATTAAAAAATGATGATGATGCTTTTGGGTCTTCACCAATAAAAATAAAAAAGTCAAAATATAATCTTTGTTCTTTCAATCAGAATAGTGATTCTCCTTGGAGTTTATATGCCCTTTCAGAAATAGAACCCTATGACTGTAAAACATTTTAACAGTTTTTGACTAAAGCCTATTCATCAAAATATAACCACACATCCACCTATATCACAAAAGCAAGTTGCAGAGTCTATCACTTTGAATTCTAATATGATAAAATAATCAATGAGCCAACAAAGTATATGACTGTAAGGGCATTAAAATTTTCCATGAAACATGAATATACAACCATTTAAGGTTGTTCTATTCATAAAAAAATAATTGAGAGTCATTGTCCAGAATATAATTAACTGATATATATGAAGAAGGTGACAAAAGATGCAAAGTTCTAATTGTTCGTGCGATAAATGTTTTATTACATGGGTTATTATATATCATACATGGTTACTTTAAATTTAATGAGCTTTGACCATTATAAATTATAAATATTCCATACATCTAACCAACAAAGCTTCTTTAGGTATTCTTCCCCTTCAACTAATGTTTCACACTGTATTCAATATAATTAATATAACCACTATTACATATATTTTAAAATATTCTGAACTATAAAAAATATAAAATGAAATATGCATAAAGGCATAACGTGATATATAGATCAATTGCTAATTGATATATAGATCTTGATTTTCTTCTTTAATAATATTTAACATGGTTGAATGTTTATGTATTACTTGTTATAGCAATAAATTGTGAATGCCAACATTAATCTATGTATCCAACCATTGGACAGCAACAAATGAAAGAAAATCACTACAAATTATAAAATGGATAAATATAGCTTGAAATTAAAAAAAATATATATAATACTAAAAAATTATGCTTGTTCATAGACATAAGGAGGACTTCAGCTTGTTGATCTCCAGAAATTGCTACAATTGTGCATCCAACATCAATTGAGTAATATTATGAAAGGATAATACAACAAGTGAGAGGCTGTGAGTTTGATCCCATTGTAACATCAAGCTGCTGTTTACTCCTTTAATTTAACAAAAATAAAGTTTTTTTTTGGCATGGAGGCTCCTAATATATAAATGAAGGGGAAAATAAGGAGAAGCAAGGAGAAATTAAGAGAAAGCTATTGTGTAACATCCCAAAAGTTGTTTAACACCTGGATTTAATTTAAGATAAAATATATACAATTAAATTAAAATTGAATTTTATTAAAAAAAGTTTGATTTTATTTTATTCTTAACTATGAAAAAAATTACCAAAATTCCTCAAGCTTTGTGTTATAACAAAAAAATTTGGGCCCTTCCTTATAACTTTCCTCAAATTGCTTAGTTCAGTTTTGTTATAAAAGAAGCAACGCAAAAATGAAAAGAGAAACAAAAGGAAACAAAGAAAAAAGAGTGTGTAAGAGAGAGAGAGGGGGGGAAGAAGAGAGGAGGAAGAGAGGGAGCTAGAGCTTAGATTTGGAAGGCTTTGCGGTTGTTGTGAGCTCGATTACATGATAGGTAAGCTCCTTATTTCAATCCTCTTCCTTTCTTCTTAGTTTTCTTGAGTTTTTCAAAGAGGTAAACTTCTAGATTTTGATCCCAACAGCTTTACTCTTATAAACTTTATTTTCTTTAGGTCCTTTGGATGTTGTTTTGAGTTTTTATATGATACTTTAATGTTTTGAGTGGGCAATTGAAAAAAAAAGAGTTTTAGGAAAAAATTAAACCCTAAGGGATTGGGTTTTGCTCTTTAATGGTTTAAGCCTATTGATTTAGTTATAATTATACTTCTAATAAGATTTAAATTAAGCTTTAGTTTTCATTATAAGGGCTAATTATGAAAGTTGGTAACACTAAGTGAAAGTTTTTGATTGATTAAAAATTATATGGTTTGAAAATGGGCCTAATGGTGGCTAATAAATGTTTTGATGGTTAAATGATACTATGTGAATGATTGGTTTAATATATGAACCATTGGGATGCATTATAACTCATTAACTCAAGTTATATGGTATGAGTTATAGTCTTCTTTTATGCTATTTGTCATGATAAGTGATGTGGATCACTTATATATTGTAGGGATTATTGGTGGAATTTGTTTGGAAGTTAAGGGACAAGCTAAGTCATATTTTTATATAAGGCTAAAGTCCCTATTCAATTCAAACTTTACCATTCACATCCATACACAATCAACAACAATAATCATATCATATTAGAGTAATAACCCTCGATTTGTTTTCAAAATGTAGGATCTTGACTTTGCAAAACATATGCTTAAATAAGAGGGCTAATGGATATGTAAACATAATCATACGACTCAATGAGGCACAACATTTTTCCCTCGAAAAAGTGCCATGTCCTGCGGCTTACACCACCATGAGCCGCGGCATATAGTACAAAGCTACAACTCTGTTCTTTTTTATGCCATGTGTTGTGGTGCATATGACAGCAAAATCTACTATCATATGATAGTTCGAAAGATGAACTTTTATCGTGCACCATTTTCACATTCGACGTCCGATTGGAGTAATTCAAGCACTCACACAAAGCTTACAATATATTCTAGTTAATTGAGACAAGTTTGGATTTGATCCAATAGTTTGATCTAAAATCAGATACCTAGGTGCAAAAAGTCACTTTTCTTTTAAAAACTTGCATCATAAGTGCTTAATTCTCATTCCTTATCTCATTAGACCATTCTAAGCCTTGAACTAAGTCTAAAAGGATTACATACACCTGACTGACACTTTTAATCACATATATCACATCATTTACTTAAATTGACTTCTCAATGCCAT